TGTTTTGTTCTACTTTCTTGAAAGGTGGAACCTATTTATAGTAGCTGTTTTAACTGTGTTGTCTTTTTATACCAGCATCTCTATTATTTCAGACTCTGTTTCTACCAATTGATATATATTTTTTATTAAGTTATTGGATATATTTTTCCTGCTTCTTAGAATATCTAGCTATTTTGACTTGATACCAGATATTTAGATGTTAAATTGTTTGGTGCTGAGTTTTGTCTATTCTATAAAATAATCATTGATTTTATTCTAGTGCATAGTTACATTATTTGAAATCAGTTGAGTATCTTGCAGGGTATATTTTAAGCTTTTTGAAGGGCAGGTTCAGAGCCTTGGTGGCACAGTGGTTAAGAGCTTGGCTGCTAACCAAAAGGTCTGCAGTTCGTTTCCATCAGCCGCTCCTTGGAAACCTAAGAGGCAGCTCTACTCTGTCTATAGGGTCATTATATTGGTATTAATGTGATTGCCTTATGAGGACTCTTCTTGATGCTCCACATATTATCAGGCCCTTCCACTCTGTCTGGTGGGGGGACACAAGTAATTCCTAGTCTTATGTGAGTCTTGGAATTTTTTTAACCTATGACTTTCTAATGATTCTTTCCCTTAACTTGGGTAATTTCCTCTCAGTCCTGCATATGTCAGTTCTCATCCCATGGCTTGCGGAGACCCCAGCAATTCTCCTTCTTTCTCTCTCTGTGCATTACCTTCTTAGATACTCTTCCCCACACATTCTAGCTGTCTTTGCCTCCCTGAACTGTTGTCTTTGTGTCTTCAATTCACCATACTTTTGTTCCACTGTCTTTCGCTGTGTGCTAATAACTGCTTCTAGGCAATAAACTGGACAATAGTAGGATTTATCTAGCTTGTTTTCCTTTTCACAGGGGTCACAATTATGTTATGTCTGTTTCCCAATGTCTGAAAAATGCTACATCATAATTTTTTTCCAGTTCTCTATTTGTTTAAGGAATAAGAGTAAATTCATGCAAAACCACCATAGCTTGAAGTAGTATTTGAAATTTTTTTCAAATGTTAACTACACAATGTAATCTAACCACAAGCTTAAAATACAGAAAGTCATACCAAGCTCCTTCTCATCTTAGACAAAGCACTTGTGGTTTATTTAGCAGAGGTAGCCTAAGAGCAACCTGGCCTTTGTTTTTTCAACCTAAGGTCATTTGTTGCAGGCTCTGTGGTAACATTTCCCCTATAACTGATCAACAGCCTTACCAACTGCCTCCTTAAAATTGCAATGTGTTCTGAAGTAGAGATCAGAGGAAGTATGAAGGATTTCTTCTAAATGTTTAAATTAATTAGTAAGAGATAGTAAATGAATTTCCCTAAGAGGTGGCTTTAAAGTAGAAATAACAGTCATAATGGCAAAAGGGGCAGTGAGTCCTTGGAGAGGCTGTTTTCTCATGACCAGATGAGCAAAGGACACATCTGTCTCCTTGTCCTTGCTTCTAGAACTGGGTCCATGTACACCCCTTGGTGGTCCTGATCACCTACTGCAGCTCAACCCTCCTGTTATCCTGCAGGGAGGTTCGTGTCTGGGCTCACAGTGACTTGCTCTCACTGTGTGTCTCTAATACAATAATACATGGCCGGGTCCTCAGTGGTCATGGAGCTCATCTGCAGGGAGAACTCATTCTTAGAACTATCTTTGGAGATGGAGAGTCTGTCCTGGAAGGCTGGGCTGAGGTGCTCTGTGCTACCACTGGCCTGAGGCATACCATTCACTCCAGCCCCCTCCCTGGAGGCTGCCAAATCCAGGCCCAGAACTAACCACTGGTGATGGAGACATCAGATAGGGAGCAGGTGAGCGGGAGGGTCTGCAAGGGCTTAATTCATTGAAGACTGAACTCTGGCAACTGCAACTGGGACAGAAAAATAGTGAGTCACAACCAGACACCACAGACTCACTGCCTCATTTCTGAAATCTCTGTAAGACTCACAAGGGAGTACAGTCACCAGGCAGAAGACAAAATATAGAGAATCCATGTTTTTCTCAACAGTAATAGGTCTTTCTCAGAGGCCTCCAGGCCAGAACAAACAAAACAACTGTCTGCACTGGGCCTGGTATGGAGCTTTCACTCAGTGGCTGGAAGGGAAATTTGCACCTGAGCTTCCGCTGCAGCTTCATGAGTATGCAGGGCATCCACTAATGTGAGACAGAGAAAAAAAGCCTCCACATAGAAGCTTCTCTCCCTCATGTCCTGGCCTTGGCCTTAGACTTGCTAAGGTGGAAACAGATTGGGCACAGCTGTGGGAAGCAAATGAGGTTGGAGAGGCAGAAGGGAATGAATGGAATCAAAACTCTCCAGGGTAGGAGTTGTCTCAGGGAACACTTGAGATTGTTTTCTCCACCTTGTGGAAAGTGTATTGAGGAGTTCTGAGTTGAAGTAAAGTCATAACCCTAATATTAAGTTAACAGAGGAATAATTTCAACAGCCCCAGAGAAGGGGCCACCCCTGGGTCTCTGCAGAGAAGGTGCAGGAACTTGGGGGACCTTTCCTCTACCCTGGAGGAGGCACAACTCCGGCCTACCATGGAGGAGGCACTGCCTTATACTTTCCTGGAGGTGGTGCTGTCTTCTCATCTTCTGGAGCTAGTACTGCCTCTTAGTGTCTGGAGGGTGGTCTGCACTTTTGCACTGTGCATAGTACTGGCCTGAAGGCTTTCCTGAAGTGAGGTGAGGGGGTAGTAGCCCTCCTGCCCACAGAACTCTGGAGAGCTTCTTCTTATCACTTTCTTACCACATCAAATAAAGTGAAGGCCCTCTCAGTTCACCTCTCAATTCAATAATGGAAAGGCTGAGATCATTTTTTTCTGACATGAGATTGAGACATGTTCCTTAGGATAAATATGTTTATGACTACATTTTACCTTAAGGGACAAAACCTATTTAAAAAGTTCTGGTATACTACAAGGTGCTCCAGAGTCCTCTTATGTTTTTCCTTCATCAGTTGTAGAATTTCACCGCCTGCTATGTAGTTTGAAGCCCATGACGTCCCTCAGGACAGGCAGGTCATATTCTCGTACCCACTCTGCAGGCATCACCACGATGACGTTGGGTTACCTGTGGACTGTGGCCAGAGAGATGACTGCATTTGTTACTTTATTTGTATGATAACAAATTTACTCATAATTAGGCATAATTTACATTGAACAGTGTAAGAAAGAGTTCAAAATACATGCACACTCACATACAGGCCATATGGGACAATATCAAAGGGTAGAGGAGACAACTTGACAGAGCTCCCGATGGCCAAAGTGAATAATTTGGCCAAATAAATAATGTATTGGATTTTAATCCAAAGTATAAAACATATATACATGAATGCATGCTCTTCTTCCAAATAATACGTGTACATTCCACCACTCCTTTCACCTGAAAGAGTGGGAACTTAACTACACTTTTGTTGAGTGTGGAATAAACTCAGTGACTCAATTCCAAACAGTAGACTATGGAAAGGGAAACAGCACTTTTACAGTGGAGATACCTGGCAGACACTACCTTAACTAAGTGATCAAATTCAATACCCCCAGTTATGTCGATTTCATGTACCTTCTTACACGATGCCATTCAACTCTGAGCTATTCTTCTCAAAAACCCTTACCCCAATCTAGCCATGAGAAAACCACAGACAAATACAGAGGGACATTCTACAAAATACCTGACTACTACTCTTCAAATGTTTCCAGGTCATGAATTAAAAAGGCAAGACAGAGAAACTGTTAGATATTGGAAGAAATGAACAAAATGTGGCAAAGAAATTTAGTGTGGGATCCTGGATTAAATCCTGGAATAAAAAGAGAAGGTAAATGTAAAAATTGGGGACATCTGAGTAAACTATAGTTTATTACTATTTTTAATGATGGTTACTTAGAGTTGGCAAATATATCATAGAAATATAAGATGTTAACTGTAGGGGAAACTGTACGACAGGTATACAGAAACTTTACTATTTTACAACACTTCTGAAATATAAAATTATTATAAAACAAAAAGTTTATTAGAAAACCAGAAGAAGGAAGTCTCAACACTTATAACAGGACATGTAGGCTCCCTGCTACTGGGAAATTTCTAACTGCAGTGGAAACTTAATCTCCATTATGACATCAACACCAGTATGGAACATTGACACAAGGACTCCTAAGAGTTGTTCTTCCAACTAGGGTCATGCAGCCCCAGACTGCAGCGGTAGGTATGATTCTGGGGTAGAGTCTGTTATGAACTGAATTGTGTCCCACCAAAATGTGTGTCAACTTGACTGGGCCATGATTTCCAGTATTCTGATTGTCCACCACTTTGTCATCTGATGTGATTCTCCTATGTGTTGTAAATTCTATCTCAATGACCTTAATGAGGCCAAACTAGAGGCAGTTAAGTTAATGAGGCAGGACTCAATCTACAAGATTAGATTGTTTCTTGAGTCAATCTCTTTTGAGATATAAAGGAGATAAGCGGCAAAGAGACAAGGGGACCTCATATCACCAAGAAAGGAGCTCCAGGACTGCAGCACTTCCTTTGGACCAGGGGTCCCTGTGCTGAGAAGCTCTTAAAATAGGGAAAGATTGATGACAAGGACATTCCCCCAGAACCAACAGAGAGAGAAAGACTTCTCCTGGAGCTGGCGCCCTGAATTCAGACTTATAGCTTCCTAAACTGTGAGAGAATAAATCTGTGTTAAAGTCATCCACTTGTGTTATTTATGTTACAGTAGCATTAGATAACTAAGATAGGGTTCCTGCTGCCATCACGGACTTCCCTCTCCCCCAGAGTTCCTTACATTGGTCAACTGTGCACATATGACAGGAAAGGAGATTACTGATCCCTGAAATCAATCATTAGTATTTTCCACCATCCACCCACCATTCATCCATTCATCCATCCATCCTTCCACTCATCTGTCCATCCATCCATCTGTCCATTGTGAAATTGTTCACTACAGATTAGTAAATATGCACAAGTAAGCCAGCTTGTACCTCACTTATTGGGTAATCCGGCCCTGCATCCATCCTTCCACTCATCCATCCATCCTTCATCCATCATCCTTTCATCTTTCCTGCCTTCCATTCATCCATCAATTCATCTTTCTTTTTTCTTTCTTGTCAACTTTCCTTCCTTCTTTCTCCCCTCCTTAATTGTTTCCTGCCATCCATCCATTTGTCTATTCACCCATCCATCCATCCATCCATCCATTATCCACCTCACTCTTTATCTCTCTAACATCCATCCATTCATCCATCCATCTTTCTACCCATCTGTCTGCGTATCTATCTATCCTCTTCAACATCATCATCATCATCACCTATCTAATTTCTCTATGTGTATTTGCTTTTTTAAAAAAAATCAGTTTGTCAACTTAACAAATGCTCTCAAGCGCCATCTACCATGCTGAAACTTTCTTTTTACCACCAACAAATATATTTTGGAGAAAATTTTCTCCCCCTTATTATAAAATATTGTAGTTCATTATCTTACTGCAGGATATTCATTAGTATGAGTGTACTGCATTTTAACCATCCCCTATATTTGGAATTCAAGATTATTATCAATTATCATTTTCCCATAATTACAATTAATATTTCACATATGGGTTTTGTACAAGATAAGGTATTGATGAATTGAATAACTGTATCATAAAGAATGAGAATTTCAAGTTAAATGAACTCCTTATGTAGTTCTAAATAATAAAAGTATCAAATTGTACAAATTACCCATATGACAGTAATTCTCACACAAGCATAACATTTTAAATCAACTTCTTTCTAGTGTTTTAAATTACTTGGGTGAGAAATGGTTTATAATTGTTTCAAATTGTTTTCCCAGAATTACTATAAATATTAAGTAGCTTTTTATATATACACTAGCAATTTGTGTTTATTCTCTTGTGATTTTCTATTACCAGATTGTCTCTATTTTTCTACTGTTTCCACTTTTTTCATCTAAATATTATTTGTGTTCATTCTTTTTCACTATGGTGAACTGAGACGAAAAGGGGTGGGATTCTTTCTCCTGTACTGCACAATTTAAATTGCTGGTGAAATATTATATACAATTTTAAACAATAAAAGGGCCTGAAAGCAAAAGATGAATATGGCCAGGTGCCAGAAACACAGTAAACTAAAAAGAAGAATTGACCCTGAATTGCATATGTGAAAAATGTTGAATTGACAAATGTTGTGTTATATATATATTTACAACAATAGAAAAAGAAGAAAAATAAATTTAAAAAAGAGGATTTGGAATGAGAATGAAACCCGAATGTCCTCCTGCATTTATGAAGTTGGTTTCACACACATGAGATGGAAGCAGGCAGGCAGTTTGTGAGCAGCCAGAGCTGAGACCCCTGCCTGAACTGGGAGGCTCTAAGTAGTGCTTTAGCCATAAAACCAGGTGGGAAATATCCTGTTCACAAAGAGGATCCAAAGTTGTCCATGTGTTGAACATGCCATATAGAGCCGGAACACAGAGCTAAGACATTACCATCATGAAATGCCATGAGAAGCACATTGATCCCAGCAGGAAGGAGCTAGAAACTATCCCATACGATGGATTATGGCCAGAACCTGCAGATCCCCATGGCAATGTCTTATAATTGCTGTTGTTAGTTTTCATCTAGTCAGCTCCAAATTATGGCAACTTTATGTATAACAGAATTAAACATTGCCTTGTTCTGTGCCATCTTCACAATCATTGTTATGTTTCAGCAAAATGTTGCAACTACTGTGTCAGTTCATCTCATGAAAAGTTTCCCTCTTTTTCTCTGACCATCTACTTTACCAAGCATGGTACCCTTTTTAGCAAGTGGTCTTTCCTGATGATGTGTCCAAAGTAAGCAAGATGGAGTCTTGCCATTCTTGCTTCTAAGGAGCCTTCTGGCTGTACTTCCTCCAAAACTGATTTGTTCATTCTTCTGGCAGTCTAGGGTATATTCAACATTCTTCACCAAAGCCAAAATTCAAGTATGTCAACTCTCCTTTGATCTTGCGTCTTCATTGTCCAACTTTCACATGCATGTGAGTCAATTTAAAAGACCATGGTTAGGGTCAAGTGCACCTTAGTCTTCAAAGTGACATCTGTGCTTTTTTTTTAGCAAAACCCTTTTAAAGAAGACTTTTGCAGTAGATTTTCCCAATGCAACATGTCATTTGGTTTCCTGATTGTTGCCTCCATGGGCATTGATTATTGATCCAAGTATAAACTGCATAATATGCAAAGGAAAGAAATTGTAAAACAGTCTGAAGAACAAAAAGGGACAGGTAAACCTGGAGAGGTTACATATTAGTAAAATTGTTTTCTGAATTTCCTAATATTATAAATTGGTTCAGAGGTAAAAAATCTAGAGAAGAATGAACAATTCAACAACAGATTTTAATGAGACAAACATTCTGATGTATGAAAGAACAGAACATGTGTTATAATAATTATAGACATTGAAATACACAAACTCTCAATGAAGGAAATTAACCACACCTGACATTCACAAGGGATTAAATGATGCTGGGTAGATTTGCAAAGTGCTTTAGGAAGAAAATAGGCAATCTTTCATTTTACACTACGCTCATTTACCACTCTACATTTAGGGTAAAAGTATATAGTTTCAAACTACAAACAGTAAGACTGAAATATGCACAGATTCTTGCCGAATATAAAACTGAACAATGTACTTCACACGTAAGGATAGTGACTGCATAAGGAGGGGGTGTGGCAATGTGTAGAGAACAGCATCAATGGTAGGTTGAATAATGTCCCCCAAACATGTCTACAGTCTAACTTCAGGGATCTGTGAATGTTTAAATATATAGCAACATCATTTATCATTAGGGAATTGCAAATTAAAATAACAGTGAGATACAACTACACACCTATTAGAATGGCTAAAATCTAAGAAATCTTATGATGCCATATACTGGAACACCTGAGACTCATTTATTGCTGATGGGAATCCAAAATGGTACAGCCACTTTGGAAGACATTTTGTCAGGTTCTTACAAAGATAAACATAATATTTTCATAAGATCCAGAAATTGAGCTTTGAGGTATTTACATAACTGATTTGAAAACTTTTGTCCACATAAAAAACCTGAATGTTAATGTATGTTGTTTTTAGGTGCCTTCAGGTCATCTCTGACTCATAGTGAGCCTATGTACAACAGAACAAACCACTGCCTGGTCCTGCACCATCCCCACAATAGATGGAATGCTTGAGCCTATTGTTGCAGCCACATGTCAATCCTTCTCATTGAGGGTCTTCCACTTTTTTGCTGACCCTCTACTTTACCAAGCATGATGTCCTTCTCCAGGGACTGATTCCTGCTGATATTATGTCCAAAATATGTGAGATGTAGTCTCGCCATCCTTGCTTCTAAGGATCATTCTGGTTGTACTTCTTCCAAGACAGATTTATTCGCTCTTTTGGAAGTCCATGGTATATTCAATATTCTTCACAAACACCACAGTTCAAAGGCATCAATTCTTCTTCGGTCTTCCTTATTCATCATCCAGCTTTCACATGCATATGAGATGATTGAAAACACTTATGGCTTGGGTCGTGTGCACCTTAATCTTCAAGGTGACATCTTTGCTTTTCAACACTTTAAAAAAGTCTTTTGCAGGAGATTTGCCTAATGCAATGCGACTTTTGATTTTTTGACTGCTGCTTCCATGGGTGTTGAATGTGGATTCAAGTAAAATGAAATCCTTGACAACTTCAATCTTTTCTCCATTTATCATGATGCTGCTTATTGGTCCACTGTGAGGATTTTTGTTTTCTTTATGTTGAAGTGTAATCCATAGTGAAGGCTGTGGTTTTTGATCTTCATCAGTAAGTGCTTCAAGTCCTCTTCATTTTCAACAAACAAGGTTGTGTCATCTGCATATTGCAGGTTGTTAATGAGTCTTCATCCAATCCTGATGCCCTGTTTTTCTTCATATAGTCCAGCTTCTCGGATTATTTGCTCAGCATACAGATTGAATAGGTATGGTGAAAGGATACAACCCTGATACAGTCTTTTCCTGACTTTAAACCGTGCAGTATCCCCTTGTTCTGTTTGAACGACTGCCTCTTTATCCATGTACAAGTTCCGCATGAGCACAATTAAGTGTTCTGGAACTTCCATTCTTCTCAATGTTATCCATAATTTATTATGATCCACACAGAGTAAGGCCTTTGCTTAGTCAATAAAACACAGACAAATATCTTTCTGGTATTCTCTGCTTTCGGCGAGGATCCATCTGACATCACCAATGATATCCCTGTTTATATGGTCTCTTCTGAATCTGGCTTGAATTTCTGGTAGTTCCCTGTTGATATAATGCCACAGCCGCTATTGAATGATCTTCAGCAAAATTTTACTTGTGTGTCATATTAATGATATTGTTCAATAATTTTTGCATTGGATTGGATCATCTTTCTTGGGAATAGGCATAAATATGGATGTCTTCCAGTCAGATGGCCAGGTAGCTGTCTTCCAAATTTCTTGGCATAGACGAGTGAGCACTTCCAGTGCTGCTTCCGTTTGTTGAAACATCTCAATTGGTATTCCATCAATTCCTGGAGCCTTTTTTTCACCAATGCCTTCAGTGCATCTTGGACTTCTTCCTTTAATACCATCAGTTCCTGATCATATGCTACCTCCTTAAATGGTTGAACGTTGACTAATTCTTTTTGATATAGTGACTGTGTATTCCTTCCAAGTTATGATAGAATTTGCATTTTTTTTCCAATTTTCCATTTCTCTTTTGACATTTGATGTTTTATTTTCCATTTGGAATTGAAGTTAATAAATTATTTCCTACTGCTTGGATCAACAGTCAATGTCTATGAAAGCAAGCAGTCAAGAAATCAAATGATGTATTGCATGACCAAATTTGCTGCAAAATACCTCTTCAAAGTTTTAAAAGGCAAAGATTTTACTTTGAATACTAAGATGTGTCTGATTCAAACCGTGATCTTTTTAATAGCTTTATCTACATATGAAAGCTGGAGAATGAGGAAAAAGG